ACCCACCCCCACCCCTACCCCCATCCATGCTGCTCCTGTGGCCCCTCACGGAGGTATGTGGAGCTTCATGAGTGAGACATCCCAAGGAGATTGGTATTTCAAATAGAGGCAACAGGGAGGGAATTCTGGGAAGCCCAAAGAAATGAATCCACCAGGATAGATGTTTACCCCAGGGCGCTCCCCTGGCATTAACAAAAGGACCCCCTAATCACTGATGATAACCCGTACCCACACTCCACCCCGGGGCCTGTGGAGCTTGGTCCATGGAAGAGCCATGCCTCCCAGCTCTCCAGCTCTTGTTGCAAAAGTCGTCACCTGCCAGAGGGACCAGCTTTCATCCCTCCCGCAGGCCGCAGGAGAAATGGGGACACTTAGTAAATGACCAGAATTTTTCAAAGGCAAAATCAATAATATACCTGAGGACGTCACCTATATTTTTAGCAGCATTTTCTAGGTAACCTGTGCCAACATAGAAAGGAACACGGCTGGGGATGGGGAAGGGGGAAGCCGACACCACCACCTATAACTCATCTCTCAGTGGGAATGCTGAGGGCTCTGGGAGGCCTCCATCCCCTGCCCTGCGTCTGTGAGTGTGACTTCTGCTGAGTCACTTCGTTTCTCTGCTTTCATACACATACACTCCCACACGCATCTCCCCTTCCGTTTTCACGTGCTGTGGTGAGCACAATAGAATGGAAGCGCAGAGACATTCTGCAAATGCAGCCATGCTTCTTCGCACAGGCAGGGCCAGAGGCTGGCATGGCGATCCCCACCACTCCACAAGGCTCATGTGACAGCTGCACTCTGGCCCTAACAAAGGCCTGGGCTTCTCACAGCCGAGAACAGCTGGCCCGTGACCTCATTCTGGGAAGAGGCATGTGCAGCTCAGCCGAGTCCTGCCCAGGGCACGGTATTCCCTCCCCCACCTCCAGGGTACACCGGCTGGAGAAACGATCCCCAGGTACTCTTCCGGACCCGCGTGGTCCCTCGCAGAGATCAGCCTGGTCATCCTCTGGCTCCCCCGGCTCTGGGCTGCATCCCCAGGGCTCCTGCACTCAGCTAGGTGACCATGCTGCCCCCTACCAGCTCCTCCCGTCTCCCCAGATTGGACGGTGATCCCTAACATCCCTCCCTAAGGCACCTGTGCTGACTTCAGATAGGGATTTAGCTCACTTTTGTTTTCCCACCAGGTCCTGAGCTCCAAAGGGCAGGGACTGTGTTTTCAGCATCTCTGTATCCCAAGTGCCCAGCATATCATAGGCCCTTGGTCAATGTCTGCTGAATGAATGAATGCACGTCTGCAGATTCCACCTAAGAGTGGTGGAGGGAAAAGGTGGCCCCTCGGCCAGCAGGTGTGCCGATGTAATGTAAGGGATGAGGGGCCCCAGACATGGCTCTGAGGGCTGGGAGGCACTGTGAGACCGGAATGGTGATGTGGGGCTCTGGGCACGAGTTCACATCTGCTTCAAAGTTCTTTTTCCTTGAAGTTAAAACCCAAGATGTGACCTAGGACATCAGTTCAACCTCTAAGCTTGCAGTGTGCTTGATACCAGTTAATTTCTATGGCGACTGAGCTCTGTTTGGGGAAAGTCCTTTCCTTCTTCTTCCGTGGTACAACTTCCATTGCCACAAATGCCGTGCAAGTAGCCACACGGGGAGGTTATTTTTAAAATGACCATGGCTCTCATTTATTGCCTGCTGTGTGCCAGGTACTACACTGCATGCCCTACATAGATCCCTTGCCCAAGGTCCCGCAGCTTACATGGTAAAGCCAGAATTCAGCCCCAGAACTGACTCTACCCATGATTCCCAACGTCGAAAGAAAGCTCTTTCTAGATTGGGGTGAGGGGCAGGGCTGAGAGAAAACATTTCTACTTCTTCTCAATAGGAGCATTATTCCCAGGGCTGTACTGTCCAATAGCCACGCATGGCTTTTTAAATTTAAATGAATTAAAATCAAATAAAATTGAAATTTCAGGTCCTCAGCCTCACCCGCCACAGGGAAGGGCTCGACAGCCACACGTGGCTGGTGGCCATGGTTTTGGGCAGCACAGATCCAGAACATTTCACCATCACAGAAAGTTCTCCTGGAGGGTGCTGCTCTAGGGTATTGCCCCCTCCAGATCTGAGTGACCCGGGAGACACCATTCCCTTTTTTTTTTTTTTTTTTGGTACGCGGGCCTCTCACTGCTGGGGCCCCTCCCACTGCGGAGCACAGGCTCCGGACCCGCAGGCTCAGCAGCTATGGCTCGCGGGCCCAGCCGCTCCGCGGCATGTGGGATCTTCCCTTACCGGGACATGAACCCGCGTCCCCTGCATCGGCAGGCGGACTCTCAACCACTGCGCCACCAGGGAAGCCCACCGTTCTCTTTTTAATCCAGAGTTCAGCCCACGGGGACCCATTCGTTTCCCGCCCTCCGCTAGGATCTAGTAAGAGCAGTGATATGAGAAAACATACCATCTTCAGCCACAACACTCCTCCTCTTGCCAAAGGTCAAGGAGAGTTCTTTACCAAACCCAAATTACTTTAAAAAGAAAAACCAGAGGCCTCAGCAGCAGCCCCTACTCCTGCCGGGCGCTCTCTACGAAGTCCCTGCTGGTCCCGCTCTCTCCCCTGGTCAGGGCACCTCTCCCTGCAGCTCCCTCGGGCTGGGCAGCCTGGAACCACACCCTCCCAAGCAGGCTGCCGCCTGGCCAGCTGACTCAAAGCTCACGTTCCTTGCCAAGGAGGAGCATTTTCCCGTACCTAAGTCATCCGTCTTAGCTGCCAGGCTGCTCCTAACAAAGGACACAAGGGTGACGAGGGCAGTTCCTGGAACTCCAACCCCACCAAGCTCATCTGGTGCGCTGCAAGCTTGGCCCTGGGTCCCCATCGCAGACAGGCACTTACCTGGCTGTGGACAGGCTATAAATAAGTCTTTTAAGATCTTGGTTTATTTACTCATGGTTGTTTTCTGTTCCTCCATGCAAGCCTTTAATCTCAGCATGCTCCGGAACATTTTGAACTGCAAACCACGAGGGTAGGTCTGACCTTCTTGTCTTTGATTTTTATGGCGTGTCTTTTCCTAAATTTTCTCTGACCTAGTTTATTTTTAAATGAAATGGAATTAAAATTGAAGTTGACAATGCCAGGCCTCCCTCGGAGAAGACTGCCATCGTGACAGCGGAAGAGGTTTAGGCTAACAGGAGACCTGGGACCTGCCATCCGCTTGCAATATGACCCACTGGACTAGTCCCACCGTCCCCCTCCCCCTCCCCTGTATCACTGCCCTGCCCAGGTCATAACTCGCCGTGAGATGGTGAATAAGAACGCCTTGCTGACAGAGCTGGGGCTGGGAACGATTTGTTGAAGAGTTGACCGTAGAGATTGTTCCAAGCTGTGTATCAAAATGAGTTTCCACAAAGGCCCAAGAGCTCCTCAAGGGCGGGGTCTGCGACTGCTATGGCCTGCATTGTGTCTCTGCAAATTTATATGTTGACGCCCTACCCTCAATGTGGTAGCATCTGGAGATGGAGCCTTTGGGAGGCAACTAAGAATTAGCTTTAAATGAAGTCGTGAGAGTGAGGTCCACCTGGTGAGATTAGTGTCTAAGAAGAGGGGGAGAGAGACCAGGTCCTTTCTCTCTCTTTTACTTCTCCCCCACTCCTTCCCGCCCTCCCACCATGTGAAAACACCGAGAATAGGTGGTCATCTGCAAGCCAGGAACCGAGCCCTCACCAGGAGAAGACTCTGCCAGCACCCTGATCTTGGACTGCCAGCCTCCCGGACCATGAGAAATGCACGTCTGTCATTAAAGCTCCCAGCCTGTGGTGGTGCTATGCTGGCCCGAGCCGACTAAGACAATGGCTTATTCATCACGGCATCCCTGAGGTCTGACACAGTGCCTGGCACACTGGAGGCTTGTTTAGTAAATCATTGCTGTGCCACCGTGCCATCCCAACCTGGTCGATGGGACGCGCACCTCGGTAATTCTTCACCCTGATGGACTTGGCCTTGTCCCCATTGTGACCCAAAGCACCCACTTTTGAAGAGGTAGGTCCCCTGGGGTCAGTGAACAGGCATCATTCTCATGACTTTGGTGGGAGAGGGGAGCTGCGATCAGACCTCATCGACCCCGAGTCTTACCAGTGCAGCTGTTTGATTGGTGCGAGAGGGGAGCTGCGATCAGACCTCATCGACCCCGAGTCTTACCAGTGCAGCTGTTTGATTGGTGCGAGAGGGGAGCTGCGATCAGACCTCATCGACCCCGAGTCTTACCAGTGCAGCTGTCTGATTGATCTGATCACTAAACACAGGTCATTTGTGAACGATAACACATCCTATTGTATGGAAACTCCTGCTCAACTGATCTCTTCAGTATCTGCCTGCCCTGCTGCTCAGGAACGTGGTTTAACAGGCCTCTAATGCAGACATGGTACCTCTGGGATGCTTCCTGGAGGAGCAGGGCTTGCTTGAGTTGGCCTCAGAATTTCAGGAAGCAAATACCCCATCATTACAGTGGGTTTTGATGAGATCCCAAGCGTTTTGCTTCCCTGAGCAGGGCCGGCAGGAGAGGGGCAGGGCTTTGCAGGGAGATAGGGCAGCACCCAGGGCTGGGTCAGAGCGTGCTTAGGAAAACCCTTCTGATTTGGCCCCCGGCTGGTCCTCAGACCTGAACTCCCAGATGGGCACACCTCATCCATTTGCGAGGTTTCACACAGCAGGGTTTGTGATCAAAGGCCTGGACCACGAGTCAGCGGCCCTGGCTGAACATTAACCATCACCAGAATTGTGTTACCCAGGTAAGCTGGATCACCTCCATGTCTTTTTTTGTGTGTGTGGTACTCGGGCCCCTCACTGTGTGGCTTCTCCCGTTGCGGAGCACAGGCTCCGGACGCGCAGGCTCAGCGGCCATGGCTCATGGGCCCAGCCGCTCCGCGGCATGTGGGATCTTCCCGGACCGGGGCACGAACCCGTGTCCCCTGCATCGGCAGGCGGACTCTCAACCACTGCACCACCAGGGCAGCCCCTCCATATGTCTTTTTGTGATGCTACAACACTTCAAGCTCCTGCCAGATGAAAGGGATTAAACAAAACCTGAGAAGAGGGGTGAACGGAAGCCAGGGTGACCGCACAGCTCCTGGAGAAGATAACACTTCTCTGAGTTCAAGGGAGAACCAGGCGGGCCCCTGCTGGTCCTCCCTGCAGGCAGGAAGGCACAGTTTCTCCTCCTACAGAATCACCCTAGGGTTCCCCTTTTTCCTCCCACTTCCCAGCTATCCAACCCTGGTACCCCGATACCCACGCCCTCTGCAATCCCCTCCCCTCCTGTGGGAAGACATGGTCCAAGGCTACAGCCAGGCTGGAGCCCTGGGCTCTTCTGCTAGCACTAGGGCCCCAGCCGACCCTGCTTTTGGAAGGGTATGAGGGGTGACTTTTGAGGGGCTAGAGGTCAAGGGGGGTATGTGGGAAGTGATCAAATTGTCTTGGAGAGGGAACAGGGGAGAGAATACTGCCCTCCACCCCCAGCAAGAACTGGCCATGGGGACTGGCTGTGCTCATGGCCAAAGCTCCCTGCCCTCGTCCTGGGGCAAATGGATCCCTCCAAGCACACAAGGACCCAGAGAACAGGAAGGGCGGCTTAGAAAGGAGACCACATGAGACAATCAGTCCTTCATTTCTGTCTTCTGCAACACCGGCGTTGATAGGGATCCCGGGCAGTGCCCGCCGAGTCAGGGCAGCACATTCGCTGCTCTCCTGCTGCAGGTCCCTCCCCAAGGTACCAAACCCCAGCTGAGACCACCCCCGCCCCCCAGTCCCAGCCCCTGACCATCACACACACACACACACACACACACACACACACACACACACACACACACACACACACACACCGTCCTAGGGTCAAGCCGGCCACCACAGCACCCTGGGCAGCGGGGCACTTGGTGTTGAGGACCATCAAATCATTCCCTCCTTCCAAAAACATGTCTTGAGTAGCCATTAAGTGCTCAGCACTGGCCTCGCACGGGCATAGGCGTGCCCCTCCCCAGCCCCAGCTCCCATCTGGGTATCACTCAGTCTGTTGAGACTCCCCCACAGGGACGCCCCTGGGCTATCTGGCAGCTGAGCGCAGCTGGCTGGTGCCACAGCTGACCAGTCCAGACCTGCACCATCTCACCCAGGGAGCCTCGCCCAGGGCCGTCGACAGCCCCCGCACTCAATGCCCGAGGGCTGCCGTCCCACCTCCAAGGAAGGACACAGACGGACCTCAACCATCACAGACACATCCAGGCTCCAGGGTGAGGATGTCTGATCTTACCTCCTCCCTCAGCCCTTCCCGGGACTTTTCCCGGCCCCCGTTTTGGAATGCTTGTGGAATTCTGTTCTCAGGTCTGAGAGCCTTGAAGAAAGCACCTTTTGATAGGGTCTTACCCCCTGGGGTTCTAAAAGCCACCATTCCTGGTCATTCCCCACACGCACCACGCAAGCATCCCATCCCGCCCATGGGTCTGCTTGGGTCCAGGCCCCCTAGAGCGCCGCGCCCTTGGCGCTGGGGGTGGGTGCCAGGGCGCCCCGGTGAACGCGCTGGTGCTTGAGCAGGTGCTGCTTCTGGCTGAAGCCGCGGCCGCAGGAGGCACACAGGTAGGGCCGCTCGCCCGTGTGGTTGCGCCGGTGGCGCGTCAGGTTGGGCTTCTGGCTGAAGCGGCGCCCGCACTCGGGGCACGGGTAGGGCCGCTCGCCCGTGTGGATGCGCTGGTGGATGGTGAGCGCCGACCACCACGAGAAGCTCTTGCCGCACTCGTTGCAAATGAACTGGCGCGGCTCGCCCGGCCCACCCGCCCGCGCCCGGCCCCACGGCACGTCCCCGGGCCCCCGGGCCGGCGAGGGGCCGTGCGACGGCGGCGGCAACAGGCCGGGGGCGCCCTGGGCGGGCGGCTCGGCGGCGGCGGCGTGGGCCTGCTGGTGGGCCCGCAGCGCGGCGCGGCTGGGGCGGGGCGCGGCCGGGGCGCCGGGCAGGTGCGTGCGCTGGTGCTTGAGCAGGTGCTGCTTCTGGCGGAAGCTGCGGCCGCAGTGCGCGCAGGGGTGCGGCCGCTCGCCCGTGTGGTTGCGCAGGTGGCGCGTCAGGTTGGGCTTCTGGCTGAAGCGGCGCCCGCACTCGGGGCACGGGTAGGGCCGCTCGCCCGTGTGGATGCGCTGGTGGATGTTCAGCGACGACCACCACGAGAAGCTCTTGCCGCACTCGTTGCAGATGAACTGGCGCGGCTCGTGGGGGGCGGCGGTCCGGGCCCCGGGCTGGCGCCACCAGCTCTGGCAGAGCCCCAGCCAGGCCCACTCGGGGCGCCCCCGCCGGGGCCCCGGCCGCGGGCGACAGCCCCGGTGGGCCGTGGCGTCCCGGAGCAGCGTCTGCAGCCCAGCGCGGGTGCCCTGGCGGTCCCGGGCGTGCGCGCGCTGGTGGATGCGGAGGCCCACCTGGTGGCGGAAGCAGCGCTCGCACTCGGGGCACGGGTGGGTGGCGGGCCGGGAGTGGGTCTTCTGGTGCTTGAGCAGGTGCTGCTTCTGGCTAAAGCGCCGAGCGCACTCGGGGCAGCAGAAGGGCCGCTCGCCCGTGTGGTGCCGCTGGTGGCGCGCCAGGTTGGGCTTCTGGCTGAAGCTCTTGCCGCACTTGCCGCACGGGTACGGCTTCTCGCCGGTGTGGGTGCGCTGGTGGATCTTCAAGGTCGACCACCAGCTGAACCTCTTCCCGCAGTCCGGGCACACGAAGTGACCCTCGCCGGCAGAAAGAGCGGGGCGCAGGGGGCTGGGGGTCACCCCCGGAGCCCGGCCTGCCGGCCCGCCGTCCTGCTCAAGGGGAGGGGCCCACCTTGGACCCCCAGTCTCCTCCTGTCCCCCCCAGGCTCGAGGCTTCCCCACGGTCTGGCATGGCGGGAGGCTCCGACGCTGCTGGAAAATGTTCTCCTTATCCTTCTGGGAAAGCGCGGCCTGTGGCCCCAGCGTCTGCAGCAGCCACTCTGGCTTCTCTTGCTTGATCTTCATGACGAGCACATCTCCTGCCGGAGGCAGAGCGAGAGAGACGGCGAGAGTCATTCGGTGCTCGGTGGAGTGGAGGGAAAGCGCGGGAGGGAGGGAAGGCGTCGGGAGGGCAGAGCTTGGCAGAAAATGGGGCGGGAGAAAAGGATGCAGAGGAAGAAGAGAGGAGGGAGGGTGGAAAGGACAATAAAGGGGAGACTGGGGTGTGCAGGAGGGCAAAGAAAAAAGACAAGGAAGAAACGATAGGTGAGCGTTTCTGTGCCAACGACCCTGCTGCCCGCCTCCTCCACCCTGAGGCCCAGGGGAGTCTTCCGACCCAGGAAGCAAGCAGAAAGTGGCCAAGTTTCAAAACATCTCCTTCTCTTCCTAAGGGGACGGATGTGCTGGACACTCGCTGGACGAGTGCACGTCCAGTCCCCCCAGGGGTGGGGCAGCCAAGCCCCGCATCACTGCCAGGCCTCTCCGGGGCAGCAGCCGTGGTGCGTGCGCACCTTACCTTCTTGGCAACCTCACCTTTCTTCAACGAAACCATGAACAAGAAAGCAGGCCAGAAAGGTCTCAGCACCCAGAATACGTGTTGCGTCGTCCTCGTACTAAACGAATCCTACGCAGCAGCAGCGCACTCCGCTGCGAACCCACCCCTTACACTGTGCTCAGGTCAGAGGGTGCTTTGCTTCTGCGCTCATGGACATAAGCCATGACGGAAAAGGTTTGCCGTAGACACTGCATCCAGACTGTCTGATTCCATTTATACGTAGGTCAAAAGCTGGCAACTAATGGACGAGTTAGAAGGGTAACGGCCCCCTGACAGAGGGCACTGTGGTTGGAAGGGGGCCTGGGGCACTTCTGGGGCTCTGGCAATGTTCTCCTTCTGGACCTGGGTGCTGGTTACATGGGCGTGTTCACTTGGGGAATTTATACAGCCCACGACCTGTGCACTTTTCTGTGTTACACTTCAAGAAAAAGTTTATGTTCAATAAAAAATAAATGAAATAGTTGGGAACAAAGAAGAGAAACTCTAAACAACAGTTGCCAATCCACCTGCCAGCGCAGGGGACACGGGTTCGATCCCTGGTCCGGGACGAGTCCACGCCCCCGCGGAGCAGCTAAGCCCACGCACCACAACTGCTGAGCCTGCGCTCTAGAGCCTGCGAGCCACAACTACTGAAGCCCGCGCGCCTAGAGCCCGTGCTCCTCAACAAGAGAAGCCACCACAATGAGAAGCCAGCGCACCGCAACGAAGAGTAGCCCCCGCTCGCCGCAACTAGAGAAAGCCTGCGTGCAGCAACAAGACCCAACGCAGCCAGAAAAAAAAAAACGCTGCCAATATTAAAAATACAACAAGGCAAACCCTAAGGAAGTAAGAGGAAGGAATTAATAAAGACAAAAGCAGAGATGATAGGATAAAGGGAACATAAAGATAGAAAAAGGATTCTGATAAATCCCAAAATACCATGTATAGACATTACATCAATTTGAAAAATTTATGTAAAATGGATGATTCTGCGAGGAAAAGTAATTAACAAAACTGACTCAAGAAAAGGTAGAAACCATGTCTATAGAAACAATTAGAAGAGACTGAAAAGAAAGCTAAAGTTCAACCTCGAAAATGGGTAACTGGCCACTGAACCGTACAAAGAGGTTCTACTAAAACTTCACGGCAAGGACTATTCCCAGCTTACATAAACTGTGACCATGACTAGGGCAGGGGGCGGGGGGAAGCTCACATGTTAACAGGACCCAGAATAAGACAAGGGTGGGGTAGCAGGAAATTATAGGTTTATCGTTCTTTGAAAGTAGATGCAAAAAACAAACAAGCAAAAACACTGGCAGAGCAAGTGTGGCGGTGTTAAGAGAACGATCTGTCGTGGCTTTGCTGGGTCTTCTCCAGGAAAGTGAAGATGACTCAACACAGTTCATGCCATTAACCTCTTAAATATTAAAAACCTTATACTATCTCAATAGATGTGAAAAAGTCCCAGGATGAAATTCAACATCACTTCTGGAGGGAGAGAAGGAAAAGGGAAAGGCGGGAGGAGAAGAGAGGGAGGGGTAAAGAAAAAAGGAAGGAAGGAAGCTCTTAGCAAACTAGGAACATAAGGACATTTTCTTAGGTTGACAAAGGAGCTGTATTAGAAACGGCAGCAAATGTTATAACCGAAGGCAAAAGATTAGAAGCCTATTCAAGTTAGGAGCAAGGTGAAAAAAGAAAGATATATATAAATCTTGGAAAGGAGGAGAGAACTGTCATTTGCTGATAATTATTAACCTAGAATGTGTATGAGAATCCACTGATGAAGTTTTAGAAATAAAAGTTTCAACAAAACTGCCAGATAAAAAACATTAAAATTCATAACTTTTTAAAATGGCAATAAAGTAACTGTAAGTATACCTAATATATCAGCAAAACATAAAGAAAACTATTAAACTTTACTGAAGGGATAAAATGTAAATAAAACAACAGCTACATCATATTCCTAGATAAAAGCTCTCCATACCAAAATGTTTAAATCCAGTGTAATCCTAATTAAGTAAATTATAACATTTACTATGTGTGTAAATCACCCAGAAATTCTAAAAATGAGCAAGGAAGAATTTGGCTTATGCAACATTAAAAGCTAAAATACTATCACCACACATCCATTAGAATGGCTAAAATCCAAAACACCGACACCACCAAACGCTGACAGGGATGTGCAGCAGCAGGAACTCTCATTCATTGCTGGTGGGAATGCAAAATGTTACGGCCACTTTGGAAGACAGTGTGTCTGTTTCTTACAAAACTAAAGATACTCTTACCATACGATCCAACAAATCACTCTCCTATGTATTCACCCAAAGGAGCTGAAAACTTATGTCCACACAAAAACCTGCACACAGATGTTCACAGCAGCTCTATCGATGACAGTCAAAACGTGGAAGCATCCAAGAGATGTCCTTCACTGGGTGGATGGATAAACAGTGGTGCACCACACAGTGGAGTATTATTCAGTGATAAAGAGAAATGAGATCTCAAGTCATGAAACGACATGGAGGAAACTTAAATGCATATGACTAAGTGAAAGAAGCCAATCTGAAAAGGCTACACACTGTATGATTCCAACTGTATGACATTCTAGAAAAGGCAAAACTGTGGAGGCAGTAAAATGATCAGTGGTTGCCAGGGGCTGAAGGGCCAGGGGCAAAGGGATGAACAGGCAGAGCACAGAGGATTTTTGGGGCAGTGAAACTCCTCTGTATGAGACTGTAATGGTAGGTACAGGACATTAAGCGTCTGTCCACAGAATGTACACCACAAAGAGTGAACCCTAATGCAAACTATGGACTTTATTTAATACAAATGTGTTAATAAAGGTTCATCTATTGTAAAAACTGCACCATTCTCATGCAAAATGTTAATAACAGGAGGAACTGTAGAGAAGGGTATAGGGCACTCTTTGTCCTTTCTGCACATTTTCTCTGTAAACCTAATACTGCTCTAAAAAATAAAGTCCATTTAATAAAAGTCTCGACTGATGCAGTTGTATTGACATGGCTGTTCCATAGTGAGCCAGGTGAGGTGAGGCTGTAAGTGAGAGTCCCTCCCACCACTAAAAAAAAAAAGTTAAAAACAATCATTAAAAGTGTAGAATAGGGCTTCCCTGGTGGCGCAGTGGTTGAGAGTCCGCCTGCCGATGCAGGGCACACGGGTTCGTGCCCCAGTCCGGGAAGATCCCACATGCCGCGGAGCGGCTGGGCCCGTGAGCCATTCCCGCTGAGCCTGCGCGTCCGGAGCCTGTGCTCCGCAACGGGAGAGGCCACAACAGTGAGAGGCCCGCGTACCACAAAAAAAAAAAAAAAGAAAAAATCATTTCCAGATGGATTTAAGTGTTGGTTTAAAAGAAGCAAATACAGTATTAGAAGAATTAGGAGAATTTGTTTCGAATCTAGAGGTAATTGGTAATCTTCTTCAACAGGATGCAAAACATAAAAACTAAATTTAAAACCCCTGTACGACAAAGGATACTGCATATGCGCAAACTAGAAATGATCGTGTGGGGCAGCCTTTTCCAACAGAGCTTTCCACAGAGTGAAAACATTTTACATCCAAGCTGTCTGATACATGTGGCCTCTAGCCGCAGGTGGTTACAGAGCACTTGGAATGTGGCTAGTACTGCCGAGGAACTGAACCTACTTTTTAAAATTTAAATCTAAATTTAAATTTAAATAACCGTATGTGCCTATTGGCCACCTACAGGACAGCACACGTCTATCCCGAGTATATAGAGGACTCCTATAGATACGATGGAAAGAGGTGCACCCTCCCTAGTAACCAGCAAAGTGCAAAATAACAGTGTAGCATCTTTTCACCCATCACAGCAGCAAATGTTGAAGAGGTTGATAATGTCCCGACTTCACAATACACATGGAAATTACATAGGAGGATAAGTACAACATGGATATGCTGGGGGCCTAAACGAATTCAGACTCTTTGAGGAGACTTGACAGTGCTTATTAAAATTATAAATGTGTACAATCTTGCACTTCTTCCACCCAGCAATTTCACTCTAGGTGTTTATCCTAAGAAATACATATGAGTCCAAAGAGGAACGCCTAAGTATAGTCACTGAAGTGCTATCTGTAATTAGGAAAAAGGGGGGAACAACCTAATTACCCATCAATAATAGTCTAATAAAATTTTCACTCCCGTCATAATGTGGAATACTACGCAGCGATTGAAAAGAGCTATATATGCTCGTGTGAAAAGATTTTGAAAACATTTTAAGAGAAAAAAACAAAACTGAAAATCAGTATCAGTCGTCTGATCCAACTTATGGAAAATAAAACCATACCTGTGTACATACACACGCCCAATCCAGGACAGTTCACACCAAACACAAGACGGTGGTCACCCTGCAGGTGACATGGACCATAGCAGGACTAGATGGAGAAGTCAAAGGGGACTTACACTTTATATGTGTTATTTGAATATTCTCATAAAAATTCAAACATTATAATTTTTAAGTCTTTAAAATATCTTAGGAAATAAAGAGAAAACCTCCCCTCTAATCTGGTGGCCTTTAGTTTTGAGGCCAAAGAGCTCTGCTCCACTCCACAGACTCACTGGGCACGTGGGGGCAAAGAAACCGATGTGGTGCCCGTGGGGGCAGAGGTGGCAGGGTGGGAGGGTCACAGAAAGCACCTGCAAGGGGCCAGCTTTCCACCTGGCGAGACGACGCTGTGAGGCCTCCCCAGATGCTCGGTTGTGAGAGGTCATTTTATCAGGAGGAATAATTTGAAAATGAAAGTAGTGATTTAAATTGGGTACGGCAGGAATCGAAAACCCATGTGTCATGAGCTTCACTGATTCAAAGAATGTTTCCTTAGATGCACTGAACTGTTGGCCAGCGGAAGTATTTAACAGGGCTAGCTGTCCAAATTGGTGGTCATGTACTGAATCCAAAACATACTCCAGTCAGAGGGGCACCACTGTCCCCAAGCGACAGGGCACCCACTAGTGCCCCAGAGCCCCACAAAAGCCACTGCCTTCCCCTGATCAAACCTGGCCTTGATATCCATCACAGTGGCTGGGTTGCATGAGGAGGCCCTGAAGCCCAGGGGTGGCGCGTGTAGACCTGTGACGTGTGTTGCAGGGACTTCAGTCGTCACGGGCACCTTCCCGTAGGGATCAGGCGCTGATACAGAGGAAAACAGGCTTGTGCCTGCCTGTCCCAAAGGTACTGGTCCTCAGTCAGCGTAAAAAGCTCTAAATGGTTCAGATAAAATAAAAAGGTGCTACAAGGAGAGCTATTGCTTAATGGGTGGTTTCTGACATTATGGGAAAATCTGAGAAATGGATGGTGGTGATGGCGGCGCCACAACGTGAATGTGCTTCAGGCCACAGAAACATACCCTTAAAAACGGTTAACATGGTAAATTTCATGTTATGTATAATATATTTCACCACAATTTAAAAAAACATATAAAATAAATACAAAGTAAAAGGTACCTGAAAGAGGTAAGCTCCCAATTATCTGAAAACTCTGGCTTTCCAGAAGAGTCATTCCTTCAGCCTGGCCAGCAGGCGTGGCAGCCTGTGGAGGCTGAGCTCACGGGGGCCCCCAGGCCCCAGTGGCTCCAGGGTCCAGGCCGGTGCTTTTCTACCTCTTCCCGAAGCTGCAGCTGCGGTACGGGGCAGAGAAGGCCCTGGTGGAGCCCATCTCTCACGTCTGCATTAGGATCTCCCTTATGAGTTTACGTGGGCAAAAGGGTCCTTCAGCTGAAATGTTTGGAACCGTCTGCCCTAGGTTTTCCTGTAATTACTGTAATGTCAGCCACACACACACACACACACACACACACACACACACACACACACACA